GGTATTATACGTTGTAATAAATATGGCGACAAAGATGAAGACAATAGTCCGAATAATGTAAATAGTTTACATAATACTTCATCTCAGAAATATAGACAGATACTAATAGTACTTGTTCGATAATACTCGCTCGAATAGCAATCTGTATAGTGATCTGAATAGAGAAATAGTATAGTGAATAGAGTACGGAATAGAGGTCCGTATAGTAATAGAGTATAGAATAGAATAGTACTTTATTTACATTACTTGGACTCATCTTTCTTTACACTATTCGGATCTGCACTCATAGAAGTGCAGATCCGAATAGTAATAGAGGATACACTAGAATGGAGATCCGAATAGTAATAGAGGATAGACTAGAATGAGGATCCGAATAGTAATAGAGGATACACTAGAATGGAGATCCGAATAGTAATAGAGGATAGACTAGAATGGAGATCCGAATAGTAATAGAGGATACACTAGAATGGAGATCCGAATAGTAATAGAGGATAGACTAGAGATACAAATCAATCTAGACGTCACGCGACACCCTACATATGCATTTCCTCTATGCTAACGTGATCCGCTTAATTCAATAATGGGATCGCTTGTGTTTGATTACTATATTCAAATTGAAGTGTCGGCCGTGACATTTTATTCTTATGTAACATATAGATTTCACAGCGCATTTATTTTATGACCAAGACCTCTTTTAAATGACAAAAATCAAATATGTCCCCTTTCTTAAAAAATGGCAGAAAGTCTAGTTAAGGCCAACCTAAAAAATTCGTTCAAATAATATTCTTCTTTTCTAAGTACAATAGTGGGAAAAAGCTTTGAGCGTGTAAAGCCCGGAGGTTTTGGCAAAGCTCATGCTTCGTTGAACCTTGCTGACTAAATAACAGAAACGACGCAACTTAAGGACTATCAACAGCGGCAACAACTAAAGTGAATAGCACCTGTAAAACGAAGAGAAAATAATGTCATAATCAAGATGTTTAACATTCCACAACATCTCTATCTATAAAAGACAGGATGTGTGTGTGTGTGTGTGTGTGTGTGTGTGTGTGTGTGTGTGTGTGTGTGTGTGTGTGTAACAAATGCACGGCCGCAATTTTTGACGGATTTGCACCAAAATTTACATGCACATGATCCAAGTTAGCGGGAAGGCCAAGACCGACTTTGCATTTCCCAACTCCCATCGAGAGTGGAAATACTCGATTTTTTCATGCTTCTACGGCAGTTTTCATGTAGTTTGCGGTCATTTTCTACTGGCCAGAGTGAGAGCCAATATCTGGCTGCCACGAATAGGCAGGAAGATTCTATTGGCCAGCGTGAGAGCTAACAGCTGACTGACACAAATGCATTCGTTACAAGTGGGAAAAATTTAAATCTGCATGGCACTTTACTCCAATTGGCTCATTCGCTTGCTTAAACTCAACGTTGATTCTGATTCCGCAGAACTGGGTTGGGTGTGGAAAATTATTTGTTGTTAACATTCTTTTTTCATTCGTTTTTTTCCAGTTACGAGTCCTTTTTTTTTTTTTTAAAGCTGATCGTTTTGTGTTCATTTTGTTTAGTTCTTTTTTTCGTAACAGATTTAATGTTTAGTATATATGTTCGCAGTGTGGGATAGGCAAGAAGTAAGGCATGTAGCAACATCAGCACGGCAAAGGGCACTCCTTTAAAGGCAAGGAAGGGCAAAAATATAGTCAAGTGATAGCGATTGCTGTATGAGTCGTACGATTTTTGAATCCAGCCCGGGCAACGCCGGACCATGCTGCTAGTTTCAAATAAAATGTTAGGAAGGAAAACCCCCATTTTTACTAGAATGAGCGATAACAGCTACTGGTCTTGAGAAAGCTGTTTTCCTTAAAAATAGTTTCAAGAGAAAGATTTCATAAATTGCAACCGAAAGCAGTACTGGTTGTTCGGTCACTGAATGTTTTCTTGTAGGGAAACTGTTTATATTACCATTCACATTATTATTTTACGAGTGAGACAGTTAATTTAAGGAGTTTCGTATCGTGATTTGATTCTTTTATCGTTATCTTATTTTTATTTTTTTTCCTATCGGATAACTTTTGGGGCTACAAATTCAATCCTCTTATCAAAATCAAATAATAGGATAAAGCAAGACACAGAGAACTATTTGAACTGCTAGGAAAGCTTGAATTATCTGGGTAAAACTATTTCTTTAATCCTGGATGTTTGCTAGGAAACAAACCATCTGCAAAAGCAACTAGAAAACGATTTTAACGATTACACAAAAACAGAAAGAGTAGATGCATTTCCAGGTGCGTTTTTCTCACATGTTTTCTTAGCTGTACACCGATACTATCACAAGAAATCTTTAAGACCTACTGCTGCACACTCCCTCTCTTCTAGGGAGGTCTTGGCCACTGCGCCAAATAAGCAAAATTTATGTCTCTGAGATGAGGTATTATGATTGCTTGCATTATTTACATTATTTAGATTTTTATCCTCATCTTCATTGCCATATTAAATATCGCTTGAG